GGCCTGCTTTAGATAAGGATATTGAGGCTAAGGTGCATGCATGCCACCTGTGCCAACGATCTCGCCCAGAGATGCCCCAAGCTCCCGTGCATAAATGGGAGGAAACGCAGTCCCCATGGTCTAGGGTGCACATTGACTACGCTGGGCCCTTTCAGGGCCAGTTCTTCTTGGTCCTTGTTGACAGCCATTCAAAATGGCTTGAGGTTGTACCTGTCTCTTCCACCACCACTGCAAAGACTATTCAGGTACTGAGGGGGATTTTTGCTGCACACGGGCTTCCAGATGTCATCGTGTCTGACAACGGCCCTCAATTCACTTCCTCCGAATTCCAAGCTTTCTTACAGGCTAACATGATTCGTCATGCCACGTCTGCACCCTTCCACCCGTCCACCAACGGTATGGCTGAACGTATGGTGCGCATCACAAAGGACGCCTTGAAAAGACTCACCTACGGGGACTGGCATCACAGGTTGGCTGACTTTCTCCTTTCTTATCGCACCACACCGTCCACTTCTACAGGGAGAAGCCCAGCTGAACTTTGCTGGGGGCGTCAACTTACTACTAAACTTGACCGGTTGCATCCGGACAGACTGCCTTCATCTACCTCACATCCTAGGGCACCGAGACAACTACTTGTGGGTGCCTCGGTTTGGGCTCGCAATTACGGGCCTGGTCATACCTGGGTCCCCGCTTCTATTTCCAGGGTCACAGGTCCTCTCTCCTACGAGGTAGCCCTGGACAACGGTCGTGTCCTGCGTCGGCACATCGACCAACTCCGCCCTAGGCGGGACTTTTCAGATGAGACTCCTGGGTCTTTTCCAGGGGGGGAGGGGGACCCTTTGGAGCAAAGGGAAGGGCACGAGCTGCTGCCCATCTCCACTGATGGAGCCACAAACGGCCCATCCCAGGGTTCCGCGAGAGCTCCGAACAAGAATTCTATGAGCCTACCTAACTACCAGGCATCCACGCCTACTCCAGCCAGGGAGTCACCCCGGGGGCATACTCACTTTCCACACACATCACACAGCACTCCAGTCACGGAGGATACCCGGGGGCATCCCAACAAATCATTCCCCGCAAGAGAGCTGGCACACAATCCCCAAGGTTGGCCTGACCTTACCCCAAATTCTACAGGGGGTCAAACATACAGGGAGGTGGTCGAGGAACCAAGTCCCGACTACAACACCTCTAGCCCAAATCAGGGAGTAACTGAGTTTTGGGAAAGTACAGAAACCCACACAAGCCCGGACACAGAACGGGGTTCAGGGAATGGTCAGCCTCCTGACAGGTCTTGGACGGACCTAGGAGGTTCAACAGAGACGCCCAGCAGTGGCTATCACTTCAAGGGGCCCGAGGGTCTACAGCTAGGCAGGTCAACCAGGTCACAAAGTGACAGAAGCCCTGGCCTGACGAGCCCGGTGGGCAAGCAAGCAGGCCAGGCATCGGGGCACAGTCCTTGGAAGGCACCAAGGCAAAATAAGGAGAACAGGCTCACATCTCCCTCCAGTCAGGGAACTCATGCTAGTAACCCAGAGCTGAGAAGGTCACAGAGAGCAAAGAAGTCTCCTAAATACTTAGAGGATTACATAACATTGCTGGCTAAACAAAAGCCAGGTAACGATAGGAGCACTGAGAAGCAGAACACTGCATAAAATAAATGATTATATGTTGGTAGTAGTTTTAGCCCGGGGGAAAGGGGTGTTATGTCCCGAGCCTTGCAAACGGCTCGGGCGTTTGCAGGCAGTCCCGGGCAGGTGCAAAGCTGCCCGGGACCAGACAGGCTGTCGCCAGCGCCGTGCGCATGCGCGGGTGCTGGCGCGGGAAAAGTATCACATTTACCCGGGAAGCGTCTATATAAGAAGCTGGGAGGTTTTGGGAGCTGCTGAAGCCATCTACTTGTAAGCTGAACGCAGAATAAAGGAAACTGAGAACTTCAACTGCTTCTCGTGTCTGCTTCCCACCAAGGACTCAACAATAATGTTCTTAAAAGCTTAAAAAGAATTTTTTGTCATGTTGAAGCGATTTATTCATTTTGCTGAGAAAGCATTGTGGAGGGAGTAACTAGAAATAGATTTCATCTCATCTGGAAGGAGCTCCAAAGTAGTCTATCTAGGAGATCTGGGAAGAAACCCAACTGGAATTGTTTTGCACCTGAAAATGTATTCTCTTTGCACATCCTCAAGTATCTGAACAGGTGGGACAGACCAAGCCTGTCTTGGAGTTTCTGTTTTCAGCTAAATTGGTTAGAAAGCTCCTGGCTTTTCAGAATTTTTAGCAATTTATTTCCATTTTCTGTTCAAAGTTGCCTTTTTCTCCACAGAGATTTTTTCATCCTCTTTCCACAGGGAGATGTATGATACTGTACATGTTAGTCAACTAGATAAATAAATAAACAAACAAGCAAGCAAATAAGCAAGCAAACTCCTTGGAGGATTGTCATCATTGGCAAAAAGTAAGAGCAACACAGGGGTCTCATTCAAGGAAAACCTTCACATTCATCTCCTGTGCTTGCATGTGATTTGACTCTAATATCTATTCACTGTGCCTACTGGAATTAATTCACCTGCCCTGTTGCAGTGGCAAATGGGGGAAAAAAAAAAGACCTTGGTGTCTGAATTTCCTTGTGCACGGAGCCCTCTTCAGGAAGAGAAGAGAGAAAGAAGAACCAGAATTGGAGACAAAAGAGGCTAGATTGTCTGAAAAAAAGGAAAAGCAAGACATGGAAGAGTCACTGCTCATCCATACTCAGGAAAAAAAAAGTTGCTGATTTCCTAGCTGTAATTCATTATTATAATCACCATGCACATAAGTAATCCACCTTCTAAATTTAGCTGCCATCTATACATTATGCAAATAGCACCCACAATTCTTCTTTTGATTTGTCCTGTCTTGCCCAGCTTAAAAAACAGAAAGGAAATGCAGAGGTCACGATAGCCTGAATTTTGCACTAAATGTTTGTTTAAATACTAATTTATAGCCTACTTACAGGACAAGGTAGATGGCATTGCAATTAAAAAGACAAAGTAATCTAATTAAGTCATAAGAATAACAATGCATAAATAATTCAAGCAACAAGTAAATACAACAATAATGGAAACTAAATAGATTATATATTATCTAAAACACAAGGTGCTAGAATAGAAGGTGATTGTACATAGATTGGCATCAATAAATCTTTTATTATTTCTACTCTGGTATTCATACATTTTCGGGCTGTATTTCAGAATTATAATGGCTCAATGTACTACTAATAATACTGTTCAAAAAAAGTACACTTTATACACTTCTTTCTGCATAGCTGTGGAATTGCTACCAGGATCAACTTTGATTATATTCAATGTTATCTATAATTTGTTTGGAACTGCTTGTTAATGTCACAGACTTTCTATTATACATATTTCCAATAATCTGGGGAAATCAGTCCATGTATCTCCATTTGTCAGATCTGCCCGAAAACAATCATTTAGGAAAGCAGATTCTCAACTCCAATTGATTGAAGTGAAAATAACTTTTGCTAAAGTTGTTGGTTGCAGGAAGGTAAGGCAAAAACTGAAGTTCCCACTCACTGGTACAAAGAGCCAAGCCCACCATTCCCCATCCCTCCCCCCAATGTCCAGTCCATTGTCACACAATACGGGATCGTCCTGATGTTGTCGGAAACTTTGGGTTGTTTGAGCTGCTGGAATTTCACACTCAGGGCAAGCAGCCTTGAAGATGCCTGGCATAACCAGTACAAACAGCAAATGGCATTAATTGTTTGTCACTTCATTACTATCTGGTCCTTTCAGCTATGCATGAACTAACCCATGATGAGTCATGTCTTGTACTTTTACCTTAATCCCCCCCAAATCAGCTCTACTACATTCAGGAAGGGCATCACCATTTCTTCAAAGCACCATGTCAATGGAGATTCTCAGTCATCCAGGTCATGGTTGTCCCAAAGGTGCTTTTTCAAAAGGCAACTGGGCTTTGTTTTTCCTTGAAGATGTTTTGCTTTGTTTTTCCTTGAAGATGTTTTGCTTCTTTGTTTTTCCTTGAAGATGTTTTGCTTCTTCTGAAGAAGCTTCTTGGATGAGAAGTGAAACCTCTTCAAGGAAAAGTCTTTTGAAAAAGCACCTTTGGTATCTTCAGAGCACCTTCTTTTTGTAAAATATCTTTTAACCTAATCTGAGAATTATAGAGGTTTCCTGCCAGAGAGATTATTATTCTATTCCTAAATGACAGAGTTGTAGGCACTTTTCTAAATAAAGAAACCAGATTTAAAGGATCTTAATTCAATCCTCCTATATGAATTATTTTGATAGTGGATGATTTCATTCATCCATTACATGTATAGCTTTCCTGTAAATTTCATTTTATTCTATAACAATTAAAACAAACAAGCACATGTTTCTTCCATATACTAGAACTATACATACTATACAATCTCTGTACAAAATTGTATGGAGCTCTCTTTTCTCAGAATCCACTTAGGATCATGGATTTAAGTCAGATTGGATCATTACAGTGAATTAGATCAGAGGATCTGCTTTAGGACTGCTGGAAAAGACTCAAAATTGATGTGGATAATTTTTGTGCCCATTATAGTACTTATTCTGAATAAGAGGACATATTCTGTATCCTTGAGTGACATCAGCTTCCAAACCTGTCAATTAGAAGCTATCTAATATCAAGTTATGGCCATCCAAGATGGACTTTCTTTCTTTGACTGAATTTTCTTTCTTTGAGTAGGGTTTCTATTTGGTGAATTTAAGAATTTTCACCTCTAACAAGTCTTGGGTATTTTTCCAAATTGTATAGTGGGATTCATAAGAAAAAAGAAAAGTAACAGAGAGATATAACATACCTCCTGCTTCTGTTTTATGTTGATAAAATAAAAACAAAACCACAAGTGTAAAAGACCACAAGATGTTTTTCATTTTTTTCATTTGAAAAGAAAAACCGTTATTTCTCCATCTGTTTGAATCAGTGTGGAAAATAACACACACAAATTTTGGGTAAGTGTGCATATGGGAGTGTATTTTAATAACATGTAACTGTATTTAGTCTACTTAAACAAAAATATTGTACTACTCATTTGCATGCAGGCATCATTCTTACAACAATCCAATTCTTCATAACCACGTTAAACAAATTTTATTATTTTACAGAACTTCTTGTATAGATGAAAAACGAAGAGGAGAGGTAAACAATTTCCCCAAGATCACTATGTACTGTAAGTCTCCCATAATAAAAATCTAGCTTTTGATCATCTGGATTAATGAATGTTTCAGAGGAAGAGGAAAGTAAACAAATATCCATCTGTAATCATGTTTTTCAATTGTTTCAACACTGATGGATCAGCCAACTCAAAGAACATAAGAACTAATGACTCATCGCATTGATTATTGTTTAGAGCCTGCTTTGGATGGAAGGTTCTGTCCTGAAAAAACTAACATTCAGTATTACCATAAACTTGGCAATGATTCCAAGGTCCAAAACAGCTGCCAAGCTCAGCAACACAGTAATTTGTATTTATTCTGGCCAGGTTTCACAGCATCCCTTGAATCTATTAGTTCACTTTGTCCTTCATCCTATTATTCCAAATAAATTTATCTCAGATAGCATCGTTATTCAAGAAACCTCAGGATAGTGAATCAGAGGAGGCAGGTGTCAATGTAAAAAAATCTAGTCTTACAGGTATAAAAATACTGTAACTGTTGAAACCATTCTCTGGTTTCCATCACCCATACCTAGGTACATGCACACAACTATATCCTGCTCCATTTACTCAGAAATTCATGCTTGTTTTCTGTACATGAAGATGATATAGAATTCCTGTACCAGTTTCTGATTCTACATACTCTGACACTGGGAAATAGAAGCAGGTCACTGATCATCCTTTCAGTCGCTTGCCTGTCCCAGAGATGGTTGAGGAATTTTGGCATTAGAGACCCCAAGGAAGCCTTTTCTTGGTGTTAATCATCCACTGAACAAGATGGTGCTACCAGAAGGTTCATTTTTTACTGGTAACTTTTTTCTTACGAGCAGCAACGAGGTCATAAAAGGGATCTCTAGTGATGCTGATTCTAAAATAAAAAAAAATAGAAAAAATATTAAGATTTGACTGTTAGTAAAACACTGATTGCCTCCTTCACAGGACACAGTGGAATCTATAAGCTTGAAGTTGGGAAAAGAAACAGGCCATGTGATTTGTACATCTTCCATGTTTCCAGGTAATGTGTTATTGAAATTATACTAAGCAGGAGGGCATGATAGTGGCCTTCATATTCTTTCCAGGGAACTTTGGTGGTTACCCCAAAAAATTGGATACTGGGTTTAGAGAGCTCTTCTCATGCTTAGAATGATCATGACAATGAAAGTAGGAAATAAGAAAGAGAGCACTGCTGAAAAGAATATAAAGCATTATTTCCTCCCAGTTTTTGGTAATGAAATTGATATTTTTATCTGTGTTTGAAATGTTTGCCAGGATTCTCTTTTCTTTGATTTATGGGGTGAGACGATTTTTCACTATGTTGCTTTCTATCTCTGCTTACCCCTTGGCAACTTCCATCACCAAAAGTATCCCTGTTGTGTCATAATTTGGAAGAAGACCTCAAAAGTAAATGCAGTCAGGTAGTTCACACATGCATGTTTCTTACTTGATGATTGCATAGGAAGTCAAAAAGACCAGAGACAGAAAAATGCAATAATTTCAAATGCAATATCTCACAGCAGTTTCATGAAATGGGGATACGAGCCACTGTTAAGCCCTCACTAAAATATTTTTCATGTCATTGTTATCCCACCATAGAATGACAGCCTTTCCTCCTTACCTTATGGCTTCAATCCATAGGTGACGGTCCTCCTCGGAGGCTGCAGAGATCTTATAGGACTGGTGCTTGCCTTCAACCACCCTTCCATCCCCATCCGTCTTGCAAGCTTTGATCTTCTGCCCTTTGCAGTTTGCATTGAAGAGCTCAAAGCAATTCTGAGAGGAAAAATGTGGAAAGCAGTAAGAATCAGCAATTCTACTATCTCCAATATCTGATATGTATGTGCACATCTCTTTTGAGATGCAGGTGAGAAACATCCTGGATCTCTCTATGACCCAGGACAAAGATCCTAAAGAGATTTCATTTACACTGACCAGGATAGCTGGGGATGATAGGATTGCTAATCCAATACATCTGGAAGAGGATGATAGTTTGCACACTTGTTTCATTTACGTGTGACTTACATATTACAACTGGTTTCACCTAGCCTGCCATTTATGGACTAATATGCAGAATGGAATGCAGTTAGTTATTGCAATTATTATCTTACAACATGAGAATTTTGTATTTTTCCAGATGATGCAGCATAGTTCCTAGACCATCTCCATCCATAAAGTACCAACATTTATTTTACAATGTACATTATGAGAAGATATTGGGAGCTAATTAGATTCAGTTCCAATAAAATGCTAAATCATGGAAGATGTTACGTGAAGAAGTCCTCTGATTAAGCACTTCCCCCTCTCTGTTTTCCTCTCATGCTTTCCTTTCCTTCCATTAGTCATTTGATGGATTTCAGCATACCCCAATTTTAATTGCATTTTACCATTCTTGTATTAGCCACCTGAGACCATACAAGGAAAAGCAGAAAATAAGCATCTTAAATAGATTATTTGATTACTGCTGTACCAGCAAACTATGGTACATGCGTATTTTGCAGACCAGGAATAGACATTAAGTTTTTTTTTCCTTTTTTCTAAGCTTGATTTTTGATTTGCTGAAAATAAAGAGGTAACCAAAGCAGAGAATGAAGGCATAGGAAGATAAGGCACCAACATATAAACAAGCTCATATTTATTAGATACTTATCTGAATAGAGCTGAAAATAATAAAAACAGTCCAGTTCCTATATTGAGTCCATTTTTAATTAGATTCTGAAGATTTGGGATACAGATTTTTTGGGATAAGGCCATAGCTGAGGTTTCACTTGAATCCCGGATCTTCAGAATGCTTGTGATCTGGGACGATGTCCATGGAAGGAAGCCCCACTGAGCATAGTGCCAGGCTTGGCATAGTGTCAGCTGTTTAATGAAAGGAAAACACTAGCGAGGAATCCCTTTTTGATCATACTTAGCTGGTCCTTGGCAAGAATCAGCCTTTTATCCATCCAAATGACATGCAAGGAGTTAAAAGCTCTGATATCTCTGAAAGCTTTGTATGGCAATTTCACTGCTTCAACTTAGTCTACTACTTTAATAATTTTCCAGCATGGCATATAGCATTATGTATAATTGCTGAAATTTTCTCTCCCTTCCTATTTTGATAAGTACACTAGAAGACAAGGAAGGAAACTGACTTCTGATCTGGTCCCAGTTTTTCTCCAGTGGAGTTTTTTGATGAGATCATCCTGACGATGGATGATCTCTATGAAGTCTGTATCTTGGGTCCAAACATTGAAGCAAAAGGTTTCTTCTTATCTTTTGAACAACAATTTTAATGTAGATTTCACAAAACATTATCCTAGAAGCTGCATATTGAAAATATGGAATCGATACTGCCTGTGCCTGAAAATGCCTTTAGGGGTCTCAGCACAAGAAGCATTCCATAAGAAAGAAACAGCAGGTAGAGAGAAATTGTTAACCTACTGAGAGCTGTTCAAATTAGACCAAGGAGAATATAAAATGAAATCGAGAGAACAACTGGTTGCAGAGGGATTTAGTTTTTAAAAGGTCGTTTTTATCATGTTTGATAGACTTGTAAAAAAAGCCATAAAATTAGACTTCTAGATGAGGAAATGGTGGACTAAAGGTGGCTCAACAAAAGGAGGAAACATAGCAGCATAGAATCATCATAAGGCTGGAAGAATTCAAAAAAATTGAAATAAAGAACAAAAACACAAATAAGACTTTTATACTAGAAAGTTATACCAGAAAGGATTAAGGGTCCAGTTAAATTTGGAATATGATTTTGGAATTCGTTATAATGAATTTTGCATGTGGAAAATAGATTTGTTTGGACTTTTGCAAGACATAAACAATTTTAAAAATTGAAGTCCTTTAATAAAAAGTATATATACAAAAAAGGGAAAGAATTTGAGGTCTTAAGTTTCATATTGCTTTGTTTTCAGTCCTTAAATATACATTTCTTTGGTGGGGTTTGGAGCAAAGAAATTAGAGAAGAAAAGGCCTTATGGGTGAAAGTGTCTTTAAGAAATTCAGTTTCAAATTTTATTAATCACTGTTCTGAAGTTATAACCCCTGGAATTTCCAGTATGATCAACTATGCTGGACTTTGCAGATGAGTCCCACCCATTGTTATAATCCAATCCAAAGAAATGTCCTGAGAGACAATCTTGCCCCCAGATTGAGGAGGCTTGAACAGAGAAATAGAATGAAACCTGAATTGAAATGTTCTGCAGTGCAAAATGTTAGTTCTGATCTATGATACATTGGAATCCTAAATCAACAATGAACAGCACATGAACAAGGGGAATTTAGGGGCTGGATTCTACAGACTTCATGGTCATCACTAACTTCTAAAGAAGAAAGGTGTTTGTCTGTGTGTGTGTGTGTGTGTGTGTGTGTGTGTGTGGACTATAACTAAAAAATGGAAGCAAGTAAATTCTTTATAATTCAGTGGGAAAGCATACTAAATGGTTCACATAACACACTAAATTGTAAACATGGAATAATAAAACATAATTGTTGAATTTCCATATCATGCCATGCCCAAACGAATAAAACATGTATTTAACATAATGGTCTTGTTCTCACATACTATTTATATATTTGTTATATATTGATTATATTTTTATTTTATGTGCTAAAAACATAATAAAAAATCAACAATTTAAAACACAACATTACGATAATATAATAGGTGCTATGGCTGCATCTAATAAAACTGTGCTCTTGCAATACACTAAAGCAGAAATTAACTCAGCCTAATCTAGCATGTTTTACAAACCCAATGGCAATGACTTACTGGTTTCTTGGGATCATCTACTGGTTGAACTGATAGGTTTTCCAGTGGGATTATCCCTAGAGGCTCTTTGTCCTAGTAAACAGCAGAAATCATAAGTGAATTGTCCCAGTGTGCATATAATATCAGTGAAATTAATGTAAATCTTAGGTCTCCATTTCAACGTCTGGTAGAAGAGTTAATTCCTTTTTTGTTGCGTGGGATTCCAGTTCAGCCAAAAACAAAAACAAAAATGTTACATCTTACAAGAAGTCCTACAGTTGGACTGGGAAGCAGAATTTCTTAAGAGTTTGGAATTAAGATTAAGATTAAAATAACCTTTATTGTCATTTTTTACTATGAGCACACTGGTACACATTAAAAATAAAATTCTGTTGCTTGTTCTCAAAAGAAAGTGTACATCTACCCATAGACATACATAACACACATATACATATTATATGTGTATATATATGTGTGTGTATAGGTCTTTGGTTGTTTGGGTTTTCTCCCGCATAAAATTGGAAGTGTCTTGGCGACGTTTCGACGAAGTCACATTCGTCATCTTCAGGCTGGTGTTTTCAGCTTCTTGCTTTGAGCAGCAATGTGTGGTCTTAGCTGTTTCTTCCTTTTAACTGCCAGTGGGGGTATGAACTGATTGGGTGGGAGCTTGGCTGTGTTCTGATTGGGTGGAGGTGTGTTCTGAATGGTTAGGGGCTTGGCTGTGCTCTGATTGGCTGGGGGAGTGTTCTGTTTGGTTGTGCTCAGGTTAGTCTGAGTTGCAGAGGGGTTTAAGATTTTGGGGTTATGGAGTCGTTTGTCAATAAGGGCGGGTTTCCAAATGGCTGGTAGGCGGGAGGTATCATCTCGCTTGTTCATGCTGTGTGGGCGTTTTTCTATCTCGATGGCTTCTCTGATTATTCTGTTATTAAAATGTTCACTTTTGGCAATGGTTCTGGTATTTTTAAAGTCAATTTCATGTCCTGTGGCTTTAAGGTGTTGGACCAGGGAAGATGTTGGTTCCTCTTTTTTGACTGAGTTCTTATGTTCTTCAATGCGTGCACTTATTCTTCTGTTGGTTTGTCCGATGTATGTGGTGGGACAAGTGGTGCATGGGATTTCGTATACTCCTTGATTTTCTAATTCAATTTTATCTTTGGGGTTTCTAAGGATGGTGGATATTTTTCTGTTTGTGCAGAATGCTGTTTTGATGTTGTGTTTATGGAGGATCTTACTGATTCTGTCTGTGGTGCCTTTTATGTATGGGAGGAGGGCTTTGCCGTTTTCTTGTTCTTTGTCTTGGATTTTAGTGGGGGTTTCTTTTTGGATTAGGTTTGTAATCTTATTTCTATGGAATCCATTGGATGTTAGTATATTGGTGAGAGTGTGTAGTTCGGATTTTAGGTGTTGTTCGTCAGCTAAGCGTTTTGTTCTGGAGATGAGTGTCTTGGCTACAGAGTTGATCTGTGCTGGGTGGTGGTGTGAGAGAGCGTGCAGATAGCGGTTTGTGTGTGTTTTCTTCTGGTAGATGGTGTGTCCTAGGGAGCCATTGGATTTCTTGTAGACTAAGACATCCAGGAAGGGAAGTTGGTTGTTAGCTTCTGTTTCCATGGTGAACTGTATTTTGGGGTGTAGGCTGTTGAGGTGTGTGAGGAAGTTGTCCAGTTTTTCTTTCCCATGTGGCCAGATTATGAAGGTGTCGTCTACATATCTGAGCCAGAGTTTGGGTTTGTGATCCGATTTTTCTAGAGCTTGGGTTTCAAAGTGTTCCATGTAGAGGTTGGCAATGACAGGTGAGAGGGGTGATCCCATGGGTGCTCCTTCTATTTGTTTGTATTTTTGTCCATTATAGATGAAGTATGTGTTGGATAGGCAGTGGTTGGTCAGATCTAAGATGTGTTTGGGGGGTTATATTTGTTTTGAATAGCTGTCAAGGCTTCTTTGATAGGCACTTGGGTGAAGAGGGATATGACATCGAAGCTCATTAGTAGGTCGCTAGGCTGTAAGTTCTGTTTCTTTATGATCTCTATAAACTGGAATGAGTTTTTTACATGTGAGGTGATGGATTCTGCATAGGGCTGTAGTTGTTTGGCGAGAAATTTGGCTAGGTTTTGTAGAGGTGAGCCTATGGAGCTGACTATAGGTCTGAGTGGGGTTCCTTCTTTGTGTATCTTGGGGAGACCATAGAGTTTGGGGCATCTGGATGATTTTCTCTGGGAATGATTCTTTGCTGGATCTCTTCGCTAATGGGGGAGGCTTTTATAGAGATCATAAAGAAACAGAACTTACAGCCTAGCGACCTACTAGTGAGCTTCGATGTCATATCCCTCTTCACCCAAGTGCCTATCAAAGAAGCCTTGACAGCTATTCAAAACAAATATAACCCCCCCCCCAAACACATCTTAGATCTGACCAACCACTGCCTATCCAACACATACTTCATCTATAATGGACAAAAATACAAACAAACAGAAGGAGCACCCATGGGATCACCCCTCTCACCTGTCATTGCCAACCTCTACATGGAACACTTTGAAACCCAAGCTCTAGAAAAATCGGATCACAAACCCAAACTCTGGCTCAGATACGTAGACGACACCTTCATAATCTGGCCACATGGGAAAGAAAAACTGGACAACTTCCTCACACACCTCAACAGCCTACACCCCAAAATACAGTTCACCATGGAAACAGAAGCTAACAACCAACTTCCCTTCCTGGATGTCTTAGTCTACAAGAAATCCAATGGCTCCCTAGGACACACCATCTACCAGAAGAAAACACACACAAACCGCTATCTGCACGCTCTCTCACACCACCACCCAGCACAGATCAACTCTGTAGCCAAGACACTCATCTCCAGAACAAAACGCTTAGCTGACGAACAACACCTAAAATCCGAACTACACACTCTCACCAATGTACTAACATCCAATGGATTCCATAGAAATAAGATTACAAACCTAATCCAAAAAGAAACCCCCACTAAAATCCAAGACAAAGAACAAGAAAACGGCAAAGCCCTCCTCCCATACATAAAAGGCACCACAGACAGAATCAGTAAGATCCTCCATAAACACAACATCAAAACAGCATTCTGCACAAACAGAAAAATATCTACCATCCTTAGAAACCCCAAAGATAAAATTGAATTAGAAAATCAAGGAGTATACGAAATCCCATGCACCACTTGTCCCTCCACATACATTGGACAAACCAACAGAAGAATAAGTACACGCATTGAAGAACATAAGAACTCAGTCAAAAAAGAGGAACCAACATCTTCCCTGGTCCAACACCTTAAAACCACAGGACATGAAATTGACTTTAAAAATACCAGAACCATTGCCAAAAGTGAACATTTTAATAACAGAATAATCAGAGAAGCCATCGAGATAGAAAAACGCCCACACAGCATGAACAAGCGAGATGATACCTCCCGCCTACCAGCCATTTGGAAACCCGCCCTTATTGACAAACGACTCCATAACCCCAAAATCTTAAACCCCTCTGCAACTCAGACTAACCTGAGCACAACCAAACAGAACACTCCCCCAGCCAATCAGAGCACAGCCAAGCCCCTAACCATTCAGAACACACCTCCACCCAATCAGAACACAGCCAAGCTCCCACCCAATCAGTTCATACCCCCACTGGCAGTTAAAAGGAAGAAACAGCTAAGACCACACATTGCTGCTCAAAGCACGAAGCTGAAAACACCAGCCTGAAGATGACGAATGGGACTTCGTCGAAACGTCGCCAAGACACTTCCAATTTTACGCGGGAGAAAACCCGAACAACCAAAGACCTATATACAAATACCCGCGAAAACCTCAGAAAACAAATATATATGTGTGTATATATATATATATATATATACCTACACCAAGGAATGACAATTTTTGATACAACTTCTGCTTTAGAAAAGAATCAGGAGAAGAATTCATTCCAGAAAGACAAAGCAATGAGAATATGATCTGCAGGTGATACATACTACCCCATATAATTTTGAAGAACCAGAGAGCTTTCTGCTAATGCAATCAGATAAAGGATTCTGCATCCTTTCATTAATTTTTTCTCAGGTTGATTGCTTATCTCTACAGCTAGAAGTAGTGAACCAAGCATAATCAAGCATGAGGTACAGTAATGTGGAAGACCATAAAGCTGGAAAATTTCTGCTTGGATATATCAGCAGGATAAAGTCAGATAGTGGGCATTCCTCCATACTCTTCCTGAATACAGTTATGGCTCAATAGAGTAGTCAATGTGGAGCTTGGACAACTTTCTGATTCACTTAAACTATAAGAAATTTTATATACTGAAAATCATCCCTGAGGACACTCTTACCGTGGTGTATTCAAAATAGTACAAGCAATTATCTGTCAGAATGAACCATCGACGTTTCCAGGTCTTCACTCTGCCTCCTAGAATAAAAGAAAGAAAGAAATGAGCTAATTAGGGGTTTGGTTTTTGTTTTTGTTTTTTTTTGGGGGGGGGGAGAGAGAGAGTGGTAAAGCTTCATGTCACACATCCATAAAAATGGGAGGTACTCTATATCTCAATATGAATTAATGAACAAACAATATTTGCTGTAGCTAGTAAAGCCAGGGGTCAAAAACTTCATCAAAACATCAAAAGCTAAGTACCAGTTTATTTATTTATCTTTCACATTTCTGAACCATCCATATCTTTAAAACGACTCTGGGTGGTGTATAATAAAACATTGAAATATAAAACAGTGTATAAAATTTTAAAATGTTAGAATTAAAAGTTTAAAAACAAATAAAAAAAATAAAGGAGGCAAAAGTAATTAAACTCCATTAAAAACTGATTGGCAAAAGCAAAAGGAGGGAGGGCTCTCATGGCACCAATGCACCCTTCAACTGTGTGCTCCTTTGGGCTCCCCACGCAAGGCCGCAGAGCCATAATTTAACCCTTTTTCAGAAGGCCAGGAATGTGGGGGCCTGCCTCGTCCCGGGGAGAGAATATGCTATAGGGCAGAGGCAATGGCAGAGAAGGTTCTCTTTCTAGAGCCCATTAGTCGGAGTTCTTTAACTGATGGAATCTGCAACATATGTAATGGGATGAAGCCACTTCCTTAAATAGCCTGGCTCCATGCTACGTAGGGCTTTACAGTTCATAACCCACACTATAAATGGGACCCGGAAGCAAATTAACACCCAATGCAGTTTGCGGAGCAGAGGTGTTACATATGCCCTTCTAGGGGCGTCCAGTATAGCTCTCGCGGCCACATTTTGTACCAGCTGAAGCTTCTGATACTTTTCAAGGATGGCCCCTTGTAGAGCGTATTGAAATAGTCCAGACAGGAGATGACCAAGCCATGAGTGGCCAAGTGGAGAGCCTTCCTATCCCAGGAAAAGGAGTTTGCCTACTCCTGGTTAAAAGAGATGAAATTAGAATTCTGCTCTATAATATCCTACATTTCATGGCATAACCTACAAAAATTTGTTTCTAGTCCGTCATCTAATCCTCAAACTCTTGCTGCTGTATAGATACTTTTTTCAGCTTATTTATGCTAGTTATTTTTTTAAACAGAGTGTTGGTTTAGGGCAGAAAAATATCTATCTCAAGAGCCAAATATTATCCAAGACTATCTCCAGGAGAGGGTTCACATCATAAAATGTGGCCAGAGGTCTTCCAAGTCTCTCTCTTTCAAATCTCCTTCTTTCCCCCTGGATATCATCCAGTTCCCATAGCAATGCTGAAGGTGACAGGCATTGGAGAACCAGCACTTGAAAAGTTTCACAACTAGAGCATTCAAGATTGCTTTCTTGAAATACCAGTAGTTATTGTCTTATAAACATTCATTTAGTGATCATTTGAAGTTACAAGGGCCCTGAAAAAAGCGACTTACGGCTGGTCTTCACCCTTAGAACCATTGAAGAATCATGTGATCAAATTTTTGGCATTTGGCAACCAGCATATATTTACAACAGTTGTAGCATCCCAAGGTCATGTGATCATCTGCCAGCTTTCAACAAGCCAATGTCAGTGGGGGAAGCTGGATTCGCTTAACAACTGCAGTGATTTGCTTAACCATGGCAAAAAAAGATCATGAACTAGGTCACTTCTCACTTGACAGCACCTTGTTTAGCAACAGAAATTCTGGCCCCAGTTATGGCAATAAGTTGAAGACTACCTGTATATTTTTTTCCTTTAAAAGTCATGGCTTGGCTTCTCAGTGAAAAGGAGAGACAGTTTTTAGGTAAAATGGGGACTTTGCCCCAGGAATATTATGGATTTGATTCAATTTGAGCTAAAATACTCCTTTTTTTTGGCAGCTTTTGATTCATACCTTTAAAGAGCATAGAGGAAGACATCAAAGAGCAGCCAGGCAGAAGAGTGCACTGTTAATCAGAAATAAGCCTCACCAGCTTAATCCTAATAAGCAGGTTGATGAATTAGTGAAACAAAGTATATGGATGGGAAAGGAAAGAAAAGAGCATTTCATTAAATCATCTCTCTTTGAATTGTGAGCTGCTGTACAAATTATTGGTTAAATTACTGGGTTTTGACAATTCTGGTTCAAATCATCTGCTCATAAATTTGGTTTATTATGCAGGCTTAGAAAGCCTGTCAACATAGCCACAGAGTTTTCAGTTTATCCTTTAAAAAAGTGTCCCCAGCACTCTCCCCAACAGCTGGTCCCTCCAGGTGGCTTTCCTCCAGCCCATTAAATGATGCAAGTCAATAGGATATTCAGTAAAACTTTAAGTGACAGATATATATGCCATTTTGTGTGCTGGGTCATATCATGCAGCAACTAGCATAAGTGAAGTCTTTCTCATTTGGTAAATGTGAACACATTTCATTAAAACATTTTGCAATTTTAATGATACATGATGTACAATCATTGGTGTGAAAAAGTAAAATTCTCAACAAAACTTTAAAAAAAATAATAATAATGCAAGTCAAGTACCCAGGCCAAGTGAGGAGCAAAAGATCAGCCACTCTGTTACGGCCTAGTGCAGCCTGCAGGAGTCTCTAGAGAAATATATACCAGAGCCAAACACCAGGGGTCATTCTCGCCCCATAGCTGAAGGCTGGCTGGCTGGCTTCTGCTGCTGCAGTGCTCTGCTACAATATTAACACAATCCTTTTCTTTGAAAAAAGACTTAAAATTGAGTAGAAGTCAAGAGCAAGTTATTTTTATTTTCTTATTAGCAAATTAGAAGCAGGTTACCTAGCTTGAGGAGCCAGCCTTCCCGACTAGGGTTGAAGAAAGTGTGGGTGAGATCATTTCCGTCGTCCTCTGGGATGGAAAAGGGTTCGTTTTTGATACTCTCAAATAAATTCTGCCAGGGAAAAGGAGAAGAGAAAGAAAGGGGAAATCCTGAAGAGTATTAATGTTCGATTTACCAGGTCAATGTATTTACTTATCTGGTGCAGTAATAGGCCTCCTGATTTGATATCTCAAGCAGTCTTCCCCTTCCCATGCCACCTGTTCCTTTTGATTGGTCTGGTCCTTGACTGGATCTGGAATCTCTTGCATGGAAAACAATGTCTCCATCACTTTGAAATGGACAGTCCTTTCCATTTATTAACTGGCAAATTGGCACTTTCTTAAGTTTAACCATATAGACCAGGAGTGTCAAACTGGTGGCCTGTGGGCCAGATGCATCACGTGCAGGCCACGCCCATTCCAGTTCCGCAAGGCAAAAACCGTCATGATATGTCACAATACGTCATGTGATGCAATCGAATTTGACGCCCATGGTATAGACTAAACCAACCTGAGTCCCTAAAGACATGTAATATAGTTGTGTGAATACACATACAATTTTGACCGAATCAATAGAAATCTAGTCACTCTATTACCATTTATTGAGTGGAGTCTAAATAAACTTTGTTCAGCAAAATGAGATAGATATATGCTTTGCAATTTTTTTAAAAAATGCAGGAAATTAGTCAAACCATTTCATTCTATCAGTTTTCTCTTTACATATGTGTGTGTATCACTTCTTGCAATGAAACTATGTTTTCCTGCCATTCCTCTCAATCTAATTTGAAAACACAGTCATACAGCAGATGCTGTTAATCAGAAATAAGCCCCACCAACTTAGTCCTAATAGGTAAGTTGATGAATTGGTGAAACAAATGGCTGGGAAGTGAAGGAAAAGAGCATTTCATCATTAATGAAATTAATTCATTCTGTGCTTGAGAACCAATTTGGTGCAATAGTTAAGGTATCAGGCTAGAAATCAGGAGATCATGGGTTCTAATCCTGTCTTAGGCACAATAGTCAGCTTGGTAATTTTGGGCCAGTCACTCTCTCACAGCCGTAGGAAGCAGGCAATGGCAAACCACTTCTGAAATCTTGCCAAGAAAACAGTAGGAACTTGTCCAGTCAGTTCTCAGGAAAATAAAAAAGTGATTGGAAATATGTTCAGGAAGTGAATTTCCATTTTACAGCATTTTCTTAAATCTGAGAGAACCACAAGTTTTGACTATGTGTATATAACTTATTGCTACATTTTTTAAAGTGATTTCTCATCCAATGAAGTAATACTGGGATATGATGTCATATATTATGTAATGTTCCTGCAACTTCCTGAAATTGCTTACCCCAAAAGCTGTGCTTTTACTCACAAAGTAATTTCAGATTCCTATGCAAAGTTGCGTAGGAGCATTTCAAGATAATTTTTGAAAGCTGATATTGAATTTGTACAGCTTTGCAAACTTTGACAGCAAATAGTGGTAGCTCTATAGTACAAATCAAACATGCTATGAAACCCTGCTGAAGAGCTTGAGCTCTGCAAGAATAAAAATGAAAAATACTGTATAATTCCAACACTGGTCCACATTCAGCAGAAAAGCATATATCTTGATGCAGATATAACTACGTTAATCAAGAGTTCCCATTAATGTAAGGAGGCTTATGTGTATACAAATGTTTGCTAAAACATAGCTGTGAAAAACATTGCTGATGGGCATTTCAATTTATGGCTATCAAGTATGATTCCATTTCTTTTTCATATACTTGATAAATGCACCACAAAATAATTTGAATATCCCTATCTAGCTTAGGGATCCTAGAATAAATACAAATATTATCACAAACTACAAATCTTGGTAATTACATGGACACATCCACATCATCTTCTTAGCAACAATTCAGAAGTGGTTTGATATTGATTTTTCCAAAATTCCTTATCTAGCCTACAGCTTTATACTTCCTTAATGTTTCATCCAAATCTAACCAAGTTTGAAAAAAACTAAGATCATCTACTGGTAGGTACTGATGGAATTCTTTACTTAAATATGAGATGATTTTCTTTTATGTCTCATCTCATGTACTCCATTCGTTTGTTAAAGTTTAATGTAATTAAAAGATGCCAACCTGGTCTACAAACTGTGAATACAAATTAATCAATCAAGTTATTTTGGGTATTTGGCAATAGATTAGGGCATCTTTTTTAGACTTATAACAGGATATGTCTAATATCTCAGAGTAATTTGCCTTTCCTTAGCAAACAATGCTATTCACAGATACTATTATGCAGATTCTCCCATCACTCCATGAGTATACTGGGGATAACTGAATTTCTGAAGTGCACACAACCATTAAAACCACCAGAAATCTATTAGAAAAGGTGTGTTCATATCAGTAAAACAGACTGACAATTTGAGTTTATTTTATTGCCTTACCTTCAGAAGTACTTCTTGAAGATCTTCTCCATTATTGATGCCTCTGTTCATGGACATGAACCGCTCAAATGGAGGCTTATCTTTGACGTTTGGATTGTGGAGGCTGGTATTCAACATGATAACCGAGAATGAAAGGATGTAACAGGCATCTGACAAAGAAAAATGTAGGATTAATAGTAGTGGATTTCTGAAAGAGAGAGTGATATATATCATTTTAATTAGCAGGATGATACCTAATGAGACCTTCTAAAACAAGGGACTTACCTTGATACCTCAGCTGGTAACAATTTTCTCCAAAATATTTGCCAGTCACAAAGGCAGTTCTGGGCTACTGTACATGCTTTTGTGACAGCCTCATTCTGTATACACATTGTGATTTTATTTCTGGATCAGTCCAATAAAAAATATCAGGACTACTACAAAAACAGTAACAGAGCTTAAGTAAATCAGCCCAGGGTCTTCTGGAGTTGGCAGCCATAATAAATGTAAATAAGTAAATAAGCCTCATCTCCATTTCTTCAAGCCATTGAGACAGCACTGTCCAAAGACATTTCTGCGGGTCATGTGGCCAGCATGACATCATACTGCAGCAGGATGCATACAGAGAAACACAGAACATTGTTATCTTCTCACTGAAGTGGTACCTATTTATCTACTCACATTTACATGCTTTTGAACTGCTAGTTTGTAGGAGCTGAGGCAAGTGATGGGAACTTTGCCTATCTAATTGCTAGAATATAGATCTTTTCCAGCATCTTTTAAGCCACTGAGCCACTGTGCCTCAATGAGTTGAAAGGCAGTACAGAAAATATACATTAATTGAGGCAGCTACATCTTGGGCTTGAAAGTTAGTAGATAATACAGAAATAGTATAGACACATTGATTTAAAGCACAGATTGAAATCAGACAGATATCTATTAGGACTAGTGTTGTAGGATCCTAAATAAATATCTCCATCCATCCATTCACCTGTTGACTGAAAAATGCCTGGGTTGCACTGACAATACCAATTGGCAAAAGCTTCCATCATACGGTCAATCTTCTGGGCTTCTCCAGGCAAACGGAAACTCCACAGAAACTGCCTATAAAGGAAACCATATTTTCAGAATCTTCTGTCAGAAAATGATAAAAATTTCCAGTCATAGAAACTAGAGATGATGTTAAGATGCTCCAGACATTACTGAAAGCATGGTTAGTCTCCCAGGCCTTGGTAGAGGTTTGTTGTTGGAACCCTTGTTAGTTAACCCCAGTTTTGTTTTTCTGGTGAGACGTTTTCTCTTTTATATGCATTTTTTTTCTGTTACATCTAAGTTGCCCAGAGTCACTGAGGAGTTAGGTAGTCTTAAAATTGGAATTAGTAATTAAATTAACAATTCTGCTATATATGGCAATGTTTTTCAGCTGATGATTTTTTAATTGCATAGATCTTTTGACTTAGTTGAGAGGAAGAGGACAATCTTTTCTTTTTGCAATAAACTGAAGTCCAGGTTATAATTGTGGCTTCACACATGTGACCTAAGATTTACTTCATACAAAGCAGCTGTGTTCATCCAAGCTGCATAACTAGTTCAGTTATGAGCCTAGATGCTACGTTTCCACAGTATACTGAAAACTGGGTTAGTTTTGGGGGCTTAGTTTCTTATTTTGTGAATTTGAGCCATTTGATTACATTATGGTTCAAGTTATGGTACAAGCTCAGTGACCATCTTGTGTGCCAACTGCTCTACTATTGGATGGATTTCTCTTCCATGCCACAAATTTAGAGTCATTTTTCACAGTGGCAGAGTCTCCAATCTTTACTGGTTTTGCACAACAAGGCTGGAATTTATCTAGATATAATATTATGTACATAGAAGTGGAACAGAAACTGCTTAAGTGCCTGAGAGAATTTACCCATTTGCTTCACATTCACAGCATCTCAGTTGGTTCCCTTCTAGAGAAGAAAAATGGGCATGAAGATCAAAAGAGAGCCATAGAATAATAGAAGGGACCTTGGAGGTCTTCTAGTCCAACCCTTTACTCAAGCAAGAGATCCTATTCTATTCTAAACAAGTGGTTGTCCAGACTCTTCTTAAAAGCCTCCAGTGATGGAGCACCCACAACCTCTGAAAGTAAACTGTTCCACTGGTTAATTGTTCTCACTGTTACAACATTTCTCCTTGCTTCTCTCCTTGATTAGTTTAGCACTTAATACCTAGTCTCAACATTTGAGTTACTTTGCATGTTTTGAAACTCACCGTAGTGCTTGCACAAGATTGAGATTGGCAAACTGGTGGCATTCTACAAAAGCCTGCAGTATCTGGAGATTCAGTGGATCCCTGGAAGGAGAAGAAAATTAAGGTGAGAGACGTGGATTTTTTTTCCTCCCCCAAACATATTTTCCCCTGTGGCCTGAAGGCTAGAAGTGAAACATAAGTGTGTTTATTCACTGACAATGGACTTACCTTTGCCCCAGGTAATCTCCTATGGCTGTTTTATTGAGTCCTTCTCCCTGGTAAAGAAATTTGGCAACTTCTTGTGCATCCAAGGAGAGTACCTTGTGCTCAACCAGATATTGAATACCCTGTTGAGGAAAATAGAGGATCCCTATGAGTTAACTGTGAATGGACTGTTGTTTCCAAGAAACAAACAAGAATATGTAAAATAAGGGGCTATAAAAATGAGTGATGGTTATTGTTATATGTGATCAACTTAGCTTAACTAGTTCCAGTTCTGGTCACCATAATACAAAAAAATGCTGAGGCCCTAGAAAGAGTGCAGAGAAGAGTAGCAAAGATAAGTGCCTATCAAAGAAAAATATTATGAGTGACATGATAGCTGTCTTCCAGTACTGAGGGGCTGTCACAGAGAAGAGTGATTAGAAGTTGTAGATGTTCCATCACTTGAGGTTTTCAAGAAGAGATTGGACAACCATTTGTCTGGACCAATGGGAGGTCTCCTAATCAAGCAGGAGGTTGGACTAGAAGACCTCCAAGGTCCTTTCCAACCCTGTTATTCTATGTCAGTGGTGGTGAACCTATGGCACGGGTGCCAGAGATGGCACTCAGCCCCCTCTCTGTGGACACGCGTGCCATTGCCTTCAGCTGGGTTTTATAAAACCCTTTTGCTTTAGGCCTCTACTGCCGTGTGCAAAAAAAAAGGTTCAATCAGTCAATTTCAACTTCTCACGGAAAAAAAAAAAGATCTTGCGAAGTTGGGATTGATTGAACTTTTTAGTCCCACCCAGTCTGCCATTACCACCGCAGCCACGCCCACCAATTGGCCATGCCCACCCAATTGGCCACACCCAGCCAATGGGCCACACCCACCCGGCACTCGATGATGCATAAGTGGGTTTTGGGTTGCAGTTTGGGCACTCAGTCTCTAAAAGGTTCACCATCACTGTTCTATGTTCTTTGTTCTATGACCCGAATCTCTTTTAAACCATGAATTATCCCTTATTGCAAGCCTCAGGAATATTCAGTTGCCTAAAGAAAGAGGTAATAGGTTGTATAACTGGTTAATAATTTCTTCTGCTCTATGTATTTTAAGATTTCCAACATTTTTTTTTCTCAAAATTCCGCTACAACAGTTGGGCCATATGTTCCTAGTAAGCAAAATATAACTGGATTCTGGAGCTCTGCTTTAGGCCCTGTTATTGTAGGAAATCAGAACTGATTTTTTAACAAGAGATTTCTCTCTGGTGACATCATAACCATAGGGTTCTCCTTCACGCATATGTAACTTCCTTAATTAATTGCATCAATTAAGTGAAGATATTTTGTTCCACCAGGTCCTTATTTTATTTTTCAATGTGTTTAACTTGCAGCTGTGTTTACAATAGCACTCCTCAATGTGAAGGTAAGTGGGAAATGGTTCTCAGTGTTGACGGTTTAGTGTTTACACACATATTCTTATTTGAAGGAGATGGATTTTAAATAGGACTGGATATATTCTCTAGTTGAACTAGTTTTGCATGTGTATGTTCTTTAATAACGTACAAATTGATCAGAAATAATAATGCAACTAATAAAGTGAGCTTAAAACACAATGGAAATCAATCATCCTATCAAATTGTCCTCTGTGTTTTTTTCTTAAAGTCCTTGTTCATATTCAACACACCTTTACCCCATTGTAGTAATGTAGGTAGCTGCTTTTCTATTAAGGTTCTAACTACCATTTAATGATTGAGTGGTCACTTTTGACTGTAGTGTTGTTAGTAAAAGGAAGTAATTACATTGAGAGTATCAGAAAGATATAGTGTAGCACTAAGTGCAATTCACAATGGGTTACAGTTAGTGGAAAGCACAGAAATAATTACATCTAGAAAAGAAAGATAAGGATAAAGACAATTTCAGTTCCATCTTTATGTAGGCAAGTACCTGGTTGTGACAAATAGAAAGAAATATGGTGAAACCAAAACATGGGGATGTATAAGAGGTTCAGAATGAAATTAGCTGTAGTTAACACAACTGCTAATTAGTAATTGTGATTTTTCCTTTTAAAGTATATGCTATCAATTCCAAAGAAGAGAAAGACGATTGGAGAAATACCAATGCACTCTTTATTCATAAGGAAGCGGATGTCGGAAAGGAGCAGAATATTTTGTGTATTCATAGCATTTTTCATTAGAAAGAGGGTGCTTTCTGGTTATTCATTAGAAAGAGGATTTAGATTTCTCAGAGCTGGACCTGTCTTTCATCATATGAGTTATTTCATTTCTTATAATTTCATAGTGGTCTCATTACTTGGCTTTGAAAACTTTCATTCAAGTTTTCTAATTTCTTCCATTCTCTTTTTCATGTAGTATATAAAAATTTGGCTTAGCTAATAATGTCTGTCTGTGTGTGTGGTTTATTTTTTTTATAAAAGCAACTAAGAGCCTTTCTCCATGGCTGTGTTAAAGTGCTATCAGCCAATCTTTGAGCCAGTGAAAAACTTTATTGGCATTAAAGTTGCTGGATCCATCAATTCCCTATTCTTCTATTGGCACAATGCTGCCAAGTGATGTCCTCCTTATTTATTAATAATTTCCTCAACTTTGTTTTCCCTCCTCTCATCATTATCTGACTGAAAATAGCTATCAATTACACTCCTTATTGGGGCATAGGGATTAGGGAGAGTTGAATTTTTACCAATGGCTGGTCTGGCATATTTAGTAATCTTTAGTCAAAATTCACTCTGACTTTGAGCAAATATTTTGCATATCTGAGTTCAACAGGAGCCAACTATTATCTGATAATGGGGATCTTTTTGACATGGGTTTAATACACTAAATCCAATTCAAAACAAATAAAAGCTTTAGTGCTTTTCTCAAAGACCATTAAAGCCATAATATTCAAAACCAGGGTAAACAATAGATAACTGGGTGTGGGTTATGCCACCCAGCCCAAGTACCACCACCTCTGTTTCAGCTGCTATTTGGGCTGGCTCCTAAGATATGGATTGGCTTTGAGACATGGTAGGTACAAGAGTAATTCCTTCTTTCCTTCCTTCCTTCCTTCCTTCCTTCCTTCCTTCCTTCCTTCCTTCCTTCCTTCCTCCCTCCCTCCCTCCCTCCCTCCCTCCCTCCCTCCCTTCTTTCCTTCCTTCCTTCCAGAAATTAGCTTTTTGAAACATGAAAGCTTTAAATCTTAAATTAAATCTCAATACAGACTTGTTTCTACCTTATCAGGATCCATATTAAATTTCTTCCGTCCAATGCTCAAGTTCTTATCCCTCTGAATACGTTTGCTGCAAATATGAAAATAGGATCAGAGGGAAAAACAAAGGAAAGCCACCTTTTGTCTTTTCTAGCTGTTTGCTAAGTCCCAGAAATGTACACCAAACTTCCCCCATTGGATGCATTCAAGTTCAGTTTATACAACTGGTTTACTTATTTTTAGGCACATTAAATCTCAGTCGCTTACTTGTTTTATGTCAGACAAAATATAGGTACAAATTAAACATTACTAATTTATGAAATAAAAGGAACAGTATGAAGCAGAATAGATCTCCCCTGGTGTTGCTCTGTGCCCATTAATTATAAGCAATATTACAAGCAATAAAAGCAAACTAAGTTTGGTCTAGTGCTTAAGGCACCAGGCTAGGAAGCCAGGGACTGCGAGTTCTAGTCCCGCCTTAGCCATGAAAACCAGCTGGACAGTTACTTGGACAGTTACTCTCTCTCTCTCAGCCCATCTCACCTCACAGGATTGTTGTTTGTGAGAAAAATAGTGGAAGATGGTCTGTTGGATACATTTGCCACCTAGAGTTATTTATAAAAAATAATAAAGGTGGCATATAAATAAATATTTCTATTCTACTATATATTACTGCTATAGTATGGTATACATAAGACATCCAATATTCTTGTTCTCGGTAATCTTATGTTTCAAATCAAAGTTTCTATTACAAAATTTCTATTTTATTGTTTAGAAGATTTCTTTGAGCACTTGTTTAGTTTAGTTAATAGTTTAGTTTATTGATTAGCCCATAGGCCAGATCAAGATACAGAGTTCCAAACATATAATATTAATAAAAACAATTGGAGTAAAATACAATAATTTAATATATAGACAAGTAAAATAAGATAAAATTATATTTCAGTATTACCTCTACAATCTACCCCAATCAGTCCCATGTAGCCAATTTTATCCGAACCATTTCACTCAAGTACTGTGCTGTACTAAGTGCTGTTTTCAGATTCTGGCCACACATAAGATATGTTGTTTTAATATGGGGTTCCCCGTGGATCATTCATTTAATATATGAACCAAGATACCTGTCTCTCACCCTCTTATACAAACAACAATTAAATAGTATGTGAGCCAAGTCTTCTACCTCTATTGCTCCGCAAATGCATATACGTCTATCAAATGGTATAGAATGGAACCTCCTATATTTGACCATTGTATCAAGCTGTTCGAATCCTGCTTGCATAAATATCTCCCTAAGATGTTTTGGCAATTTTAACTCTAAATTTTGGCTTAGTGATGTTTTCAAGAAAACTGGGAAACTCTGTATGATTGACTTGTCAAATTGATGACATATAATTGCTTATAAAGATATACCTGTCCCAATCAAATAGGCAAACCAAAATGGCAATTTAAATTTAGAATTTAAAGAAGAAACAGTTTGCAGTTTTGATTAGTCTGGCTTTAAAAAAAACCCACTTAGATTGCTTGTGTTCCTTGTGCATATAAAATCCAGCTGTTTTATTGGATCAGTTTCTGATCTCCCGTGGAGCTCTCCCAGGTCCTGAATACCTGACACAGGCTGCCTGTAACTAGCTTTTTTTTAAAAAAAGTAAAAAATAAAAATCCAAGAACTGCTGTTACAAATTGCAGGCAGAGTTAAATGACAGAATGGCAGTTCTTATTTCAGGCTAACAGATTAATCAAACAGAAGTTAGGATGCAAAGCAAGCTGTATAACTCTGAGTGCTTTTAAGTCTCACTGCTGCTGTTTTTCCCTTAACGTATGTTGCTTTAAAGTAGCTAATTCAATGTTTTTCAAACTTCGGCAACTTTTAAATTATATCAGAGGTGTCAAACTGCTGGCCTGCGGGCTGGATGCATCATGCCAAACTACGCCCCTACCCCATTGTCAGCAATGGAAAAAAAGTTGTGATACGTCGCAACATGTTACATGACTTTGCAAGTTTGACACCCCTGAATTATATGGATTTCAAATCCCAGATTCCCCAGTCAGCACTGTGGATCATTGGTTAAACTCAATTCTCCACTTATTTAACTAACATTAGCTGCATGAAAAAAACCTTTTTATATACAAAGAGCATTTGTATATATATATTTACTGTATGTATGTATGTGGCGGGCACCTCACCATGATTGTGCTTGCTGGAAATGATCAATCTCCAGTAATATTTCAGCAATCTCTTGATTTATTTTCTGGAAGCAAGAAAAACCAATGAGAATCAATACAGCCAGAAAAACAGTGACCACACTGAATGTTTTCCACATATTCTGTATAGGTAGTGAAAAAACAAACAAACAATGATTACATGCCAAATAAACAGATGGATATATTTTTCAGTCATTTCATTTAGATGCAATACACACATTTATTTATCCTTAGAATATATGTCCATGATACAGATGAAAAATATATGTGGAAAGATGAGATTCTCTAGATCAATAAGTCAGAGGCCAAGTTGAGATGGTCATGCATCAAACTTCTAGTAATAATGACAGAAGTCTTGTTTCAGAAGCATAACCTTTATCCAAATATATTGTTCTATCTCACAGGAAAATAGTGCTTACTCAGGGCAATACACTTGACTTTATAAGACCTTTTCTACTATGTATAACCCTATTAAATCCCAGGTCAAAAATTAGCTAGCTGCATTATTGATTTGCTTTCTCTCAGCCATCCCCAACTGGGATAATCCAAATGTTCTTGAGTAGACCTCTTACAATTTCCACTCCACAGTCAATAGGCATATGGAATGGAATTGTGCAAGTTGTATCTACCCAAGGGGTCCTCAACCTTGGCAACTTTAAGACTTGTGGACTTCAACTCCCAGAATTCCTCAGCCAGCAAAGCTGGCTGAGGAATTCTGGGAGTTAAAGTCCACAAATCTTAAAGTTGTCAAGATTGAGGATCCTGGTCTACCCCATCTAGTTGGGGAATTAGAATGATTCCTACCTGAATGTCTTCCAGAAAGTCTTTCTGGTGCTTCTTCATTATCTTTAGCTCAGTGTCCTCAGCTTCATTCAAGTCAGATGTATCTGAAAGAGAGCAGCTTTTTTACTCCCACCATAAAGCTCACTGCAGTAATAAAAATAAGATCCCAAAGGGTAAAAAAAAGGGCAAAAATATGCTTTAAAAAAATCCCACTTATATGTAGATTCTTTCATTCACCTTCATTGAAAAACAGGCAGATCTAGACTGTCATGGAATTTTCATATTCCAGGGGACAAAATTGTTTGATTACTCCAGAACAAAACCCATGAGTGTTGAAGTTCAATTGGGTAGTCAGAAGATAAGTTTGGGGGAAAAAAGTAACAGGAAAAGGCCTGAAGTAGACTGATGATGTTAATCCTGGAAACTGAATTTGCATTAACTAGAAACTTTTATAATGAGAGTTTTTCTGGTTATGCTTCTGTTTCAGCTATTTCTCAGATAAATGACACCATATGGATGTTATTGAAAAGTCTGTTTGTGTGTTTTTCATTATTGAAAGCAGGAGCTGTGATGCAAATCCATGCAGATGCTGCTATTCCTGAGAATTTAAAAGGAGTTCCAGATTTCTTTTCTGGGTTAAATGCAAGGCAAGCTGAACTGATTCTTCTTTCCTATTATTACCATTTTTAGAACATGCCATGATGCCTGCGGAGCTATCTTCTCTGAATAGATGTCTTCTTCTGGAGAATGAAGTTCATGACTAATAGGGATTTGAATCCAAGGTTTTGAAATGCTAGTATGTCACTCAATTTATTTTACTCAATTCTATGTCCCTATCCACTTAATTTTTAAAAATTAATATTGTGGGAATGACAGATCTGTTTCCATAAAACTGTTTCAAATCCACTTGAATTAAAAACTTTAATTGCTGTCATAATATAGTAGTAAAATGAATGGTTAAAAATCAGACTAGTGCAGGCAAAAGTATTCCCTGTGACATTGTGTGGAAGTTAAAGTTGGAGTTTGAAGAAGCAAGATAAAAAGCATATTGGCATTTTTGAATTTCTGGTATTGGAAAAAAATCCCTATGAATGCTATGGACAGTGAAAAAAAATGGATCATTGAACAAATTGACCCAGAGTTCTCACTCAAGACACATAGTATCAGGATGAAATTATCTTACTTTGGACACATCATGCAAACATCTAGCTCCCTAGAGAAGTCTACGATGCTGGGAAAGTTGGAAGAATGGAGAAGAGGATGATCAGCTGCATAATGGATAGGATTTGTTACAATGGCAATGGGTACACCCTTGGAAGGTCTGAAAGACCTAATTGGGGCAAATTGTCATGAAGAAAATCTGTGTGGTTACTAAGAGTCAAAAATTTGATGGCACATAATCAGTCAATCAGTCAAAATGTGAGATTGAGCAGAATAATCTTATGGACCCTTTTAACTCAATACAGCCTTTTTGAATGGTAGGAAAATGGAAAGAGAACAAATAGATAACCAAATGGAAATTACAGCAATACAGCTGGTATTGGGTTATGAGAATGACTGCCTGTAGCTGCACTTTTGTTGAGGAAGAAAGATTGGAGTAGAGGATCAGTTTCTCTTCCTGCCGGGTGTGATTATGCAGAGATTTGCATAAAAGCAAGCAGGCTTTGGCTTTAGTGGAAACAGTCTACAAAATGGTGAGGGTTGGATGAGTTGCTTTGAACTGGTATCTACCCATCTTTGCTCCAGTAAATGGCTTTAATCTACCATGATTTCTTTCAAAGAAAACCAATCCTGGTGTAAAGTGCTTGAGTCCCAGAAAACTCACAGCATGGAGAACTGAATGAATAATTCCTTAGAGTCATTTTCATGTATATCCTGAAAGTGGTCCAAATTTGGTAACTATTTTGTTGAGACGGTATGCATAAACAATTACAATGAGAGCTCAAAACCTAAAATTTATACAAGGATACCTGTTGTAATATCCTTATCTACATATATCTTCCTCCTCACTTGAAGGGAGATTAAGATAGTAGAAGATTTTGAAAGAAATGTAGGCTTTATCAGAAGCTGTCCATAAATCTTACTCTAGGCTGTGCACAGTTTCTGTTTAGTTCTCAGGAAATGGGGTGGCTGATGTCAGAGATAAAAGCCACAAAATGGTTTACTAAAGAAGCAGAAGTAGCAAGCCAGCAGGGTGATGGTGAATACTACAGTTAAATCATGAATGCTTAGTAAATATTTGTCTGTTAATGATAAACAGCGATTGTAACTGCAAATAAACGTATTTATTTGATGTATAAATTGTACCATTTATGAGGCATTCACTTTAATGTAGAATAAAGGTATCACAGAAACTTATCACACAAATGTAAATGTCAGGTCTCTCTGTGAAGGCTGTGCTTTGCTTTAGCTAAATACTGATATTCAGAATGGACTTTAGTTAGTTTAGAGAAATTAATGTTTAGCAGGGGTCAGGATTAGTTCTTCCATTAAAGAAAATGAGATGGTTCATTTCCAATAGGAGTTCTGCAGATTTAACTCACAGTAGTTATTTTAATTATTAGGACATTTTAAACCACACTCACATTGGTTTATTTGATTGGTCTATGCTACATTAGAACAAATATTTTTTGCAAGTACACTCAGTAATTTAATAGCACATCATAATTTTATTTTTGTCTTATTTCTGTTAGGATAGAAAAAGGAAGTTTAATCCATTGGTCCTGGAAACTCTTTCTCTACTTTGTATTTCACATGCAGATTATTGCTAAATATGGTCAGAAAAAGGGAAGCCACCACCTAGACCCAAGGTGAAATTTGGGTAGAAAAAAGATGGGAGAGGAACAAGAATCTCATTCAACATGCCCTTTTTTTCTTGGCTACATTTTTAAAAGGAAAAAAGAGGAAGGCTGATGTGTAATTATTTGCTGAACACTGATGTGAAGCCTGACAGATATGGTGATATCGACATAGAAGAAGGATGGCTTTTTTGAATGAAAATTTGTCACTGGGAGAGGATATTGATACATGAAATATTTAAAAAAAACCTCCAAGTTTGTGTTTTCCATTGAATACATATACAGCATAGTTTCTGAACAATTTTTTTTCAAAATGCACTCACAGATTGCACAGTCTCTGTTCTACAGCAGGAAACATTCATATTCTCATATTTTTCATTGGAATTCAGAGATAATTCACTGCCTAATGATTACCTCAACTTACTATGTCACTTCCTGATAGTACAATACTAACCATATTAGGGCACTCATCTGGTAATGCAAAGATGTAATATTTCAGCCACAGCTAAGATGAGCAATGGAGTCTAGAAAAGATACAGCAAGATAAAAGATACAGGAGCCGTGTGGCACACTGATTCGAATGCAGTATTGCACGCTAACTCTGCCCACAACCAGGAGTTTGATCATGACAGGAGTTCAAGATTGACTCAGCCTTCCTTCCGAGGTCACTAAAATGAGAACCCAGATTGCTGGGGGCAATATACTGACATTTAATGAATTACTCAGAGAGTGTTGTAAAACACTATGGAGCAGTAAATAAGTCTAAGTACTATTGCTATTGCTGTACAGAAATTGTGCAAAGCTGACTTAAGACTTGGACACATGGGGCATTTTCACTATATTGGATGTTTTTACTCAGATACATGATGTAAACTATTAGTGCCAGTGGCACAAAGTTGTTTCAGCACCAGGTAAGAAACTAGAAGACCTGTATGAAAATCCTGCCACCCACCTAGTTCACTGGATTGCTGGGACCAATTACTATCCATCATCATAACTCCTCTTAGATTTAGAAGGATAATATTCAGAAGGGCACCACTGAGATTATTGTAAATTCCTTGAAGATTAAAAAAATGTAGCAAATATTGTTAATTTTTGCCAAGATGTTTCTGAGCAAGGTCAGAAAGCCAGCAATTACCAAACATGATTAGAAAAAGAAGTTTGCAAACTTAATGACCTTTAAAAGGCGTCAACCATGGTTGCAAATAAGATGGTTATTCATGCCTCAGTGCTTAAAACCCAGCAGAAACTGCTGCCTTGTGGTCTCCTCATCAGGAGTGACTGTTCTGAGTGCATGTGAGCAATCTCCCATCTTCTCCTTGTCCAGAGAGATTCTGAAGAACCAGTCTACTCACTGGCTCTTTATTCTTTATTGCAGTCATTGAATTTCTTTTTGTCTGCAGTCTGTCATTTCTTCCACTGGAAGTCTGAGATTCTTTCCCTTAACCCATGTAGAAATGCCATTTAGGCTAGGCCAGAATACTTTTCCAAAGTTTCCTATATATTTTGTTAAAAGTGCCCCAGATCTAGAATGCACCTATATGTGTATTTTCAGCTTCCTCTATAAGCAGTTGTTGTTTTCATACATTTCCTCTGATCAATATTCTATGCAGAAGTAACCAGAATCACAGAAAAATGTTCATTGAAGGTGCAGTTGCAAGGTTTCCTAGGTGAACCTTTAATCTGGGAAGACCAAACCAGAGTGCTTGCAAAAATCCCCCAAAGTAGAAAGGCTGACGATGAATAGAGTTAGCATGACTGCTCTTTAGAAGGCCAGATCCTGAAGTTGAAACTCAAGTACTTTGGCCACCTAATGAGAAGGAAGGACTCACTGGAGAAGGGCCTAATGCTGGGAAAGATTGAGGGCAATAGAAGAAGGGGACGACAGAGAATGAGATGGCTGGATGAAGTCACTGAAGCAGTAGGCGTGAGCTTAAATGGACTCCAGAAGATGGTAGAGGACAGGAAGGCCTGGAGGAACATTGTCCATGGGGTCGCGATGGGTCAGACATGACTTTGCAACTGACAACAACAAAAGCCAGCAAAATTGGCAAAACATTTCCTCCAGTACATGCTTTCTAACCATAGAGTGTTTAGTCCAATGGATAGAGAATTTAACCATTCTTTCCACTTGCAAATTCCCCTCAAAAAACTTTATTCTGAAAGTGAAACTGAGGCTGGAATCCCATACATGTAAAGTAAGTCTTTTGGACATGTCTGAGCTTCTTTTTCAGGAGAAACACAAGTTCTGTGGATACAAATTTTAGTGAAACTAAAATGCAGAACAAGATGCAAAAAAGGAACAG